GGACTCAATATTTTGGCTCTGGGAGCGGGGTCTGTGTTGCCCCAGGGGCTGGTTCATAAACACAGGCACAGCTCTGGTTTTTACAGCTCTAAAGGCTTCCTGGGGTGAGAGTTATTCCTGCCAGAGGGAAATATGATTTTACCAGGAGTCTCTTGGCCAGGCAATAACAGAAATAACCCTGCTTTGGGATTTCTCCAGTCCAAACACCCCGTACTTCACTCAGCAACTTAAACCAAGCTACAAAAAGGGGCTCTGTGGCCTCAGCCAGGCTGGAAGGCAAAGGCTGGGCCAGGAGGGCTCTGCAGGAGTCCTTCCTTCCCATTAAAGTGCTGCCTAATTAATCCTTGCCTTTCCAAAGGGTCCAGCAGCCCTGCTTTGGTCTTTGAAGCCCAGGGGGAGTTAAATGCCATGTGTGGAGGGAAAAAGAGAAAGCAGGGGAGAGAAAAGAGCAGGGAGGGGAGAAAAAAGGCATTTGTGATCTCCAACCCTGTGGAGAGAGGAATTAGGGCTGGGAAATTCTCCTGGAGCCCAAGCAGGGACTCACAGCCACGTGGGGAAGTGTTGAAAGCCAAGCTGAGCCTGGCAAAGCCTCTCTGTGACACAAATGGGATGAGTTTGTCCATCAGCAGTGAGTGGCAGGTCACAAATTGCTGGTTGGTGTAATTTATATCCTTATTTATTTGCATTGTGAGGCAGGGGTGGCACAAACCAAGATGGGCCTGGCCCAGCTGAGCTCCAGAGGGCTTTTCCAACCTTTATTCCTTGATAGTCCAATCAGTGCAAAGAAACACCCCCCAGGATGGGGCTGAGCCCCCCAAAACGAAACAGGAACTGAGACAGCTCAGGGTCTGATCATTTCACTGGGTCATTCACTGGGGCTGTTGCTTTTCCAGAGGGTTAATCCAAGGAAAAAATGCCTCCAAGCCAGAGCATCCCATGCTCCCAGGAAAGCTGGGAAAGCAGCTGCTCAGCAGAAGCTTGTAAGCAGCCAAACTCCCAAGAATTTGAGGACTGAAAGGAACTTGCAGCTCCAGCAGCATCGAACCTCACGGACCCTCCTATGCAAAGCCCAGCAGAGCTCGAGAAGGGATTTTCCTGCCCCAAAATAACTGCAGGGACAGGTGTTTGGAGCACTGTGAGCTCTCCTCTCCTGCTCCATGGCCTTGGAAAGGTTATTTTGGGAAGGCAGCAGTGGCAGCTGCTTTGCTTGTGATGAAAAATGACATCATTTTTTCAGCTCCTGAGGGACAAAACTAGAGGTTTCTCCTCACTCCAGGGGCTTTCTCTTGGGGAATGGAGCCTGGAAAGTCCATCCTCAGGATGCAGAGGGTGTCAGAGGCTGGGATGGGATTTTTCACTGGGAAAATGTCCTTGTTGGTGGAGGGGAAGCCTCGGCACAAGGAGTGTCTGCAGCAGGAGCTGACAATTGCAGCGGGTTCGATCGTGCCATCGATCCCCTCTCTCTCTTTTGTTCCCAAATGGATGGCTAGTCTATTCCAATCTTATCAGCTGCCACTTCTGCTTGTTAAGGGAAGGGAAATTCCCCCCCAGTCGCTGTTTCTCCGGAAGATCAGAGCCCCCAGGGACATCCTTTATATGGCAACAGATCTGGGCTTTGCGAGGCAGCTCCATCCTCTGGCATCCCAAAACTCCTCCAGGCTTCCCCATCCCACACAAGGCCTTAAATCCCTTCAATTACAAACCCCAGGTTTCTCTGAGTGCTCTGATCCTGCAATCCTTGCAGGCAGAATAACACACAGGTAGTTCCACAGGGAGGCTGCTTTTCCACAGAAAAAAAGTCTCCAAGGGCTCTCTGGGATCCCTGGCCGTGCCCAGGCAGCTCTGGAAAAAGGGTCTGTCTTGCTTTTGTTGTCTCCCAGCTCCTCTGAGGAGGAATTTCTGCAGAACTTGGAGCTGTTTGCAGCTGCTTTAAGATCCTGCCTTACATGGGAACCACAACAAAACCCTCCTCGTGGAGCCACAGAGACGCCTCTTTAATTAGCAAAATGGAAAACAGCCCCACAAAATCCATCCCAAATGTGATTAGGGCTGGGGGAGGAGAAGGCCAAATGAGATTGCAGGTACTAAACAAGGAGGAGATGGCGTGGCCAGCCCCTTTCCCTGTGGGAATTGCACCAGGCAGGAGCCTGATCCATTCATTTTAACTTTGGGGATATTATTCAATCAAATATAGGGAGGACAAGAGCTGAGGGTGGTCCAGGGCCTGAATGGCCTCCAAAAGATGCAGCACCTTCCATTCCAGCCCCAAAAATCAAAGTAAAGACCCCAAAGCTTATGAATGAAATTCCCTCTGACCTGGCAGTATTTGGGATGATTTTCAAGCTGGTGCCAGCCCTGTTTCTGTCCCACTAGAACTTGACTTCCCACAGGACAGAGAGGTTTCTGCAAGCTCTGGGGGTGGGAAGGAACCTGCAAGGTCAAAGTGTCCACCCCTGTTCTGTTTGGGAAAACCAGCATGATTTTATTCCTGTTTAACCCCCTTTATTTAACATAAATCCTCACTGAATTCCCACTGAATTCCCACTGAACCTGCCACAGCTCCACCAACCCCCAACAAAACAGCCCCCAGCCTGTGGTGAGTTTAATCTCAAGTCTCTCGCTGGGGTTTGGATTTATTTATGCATGTTATAAACACACTCAAGGATCCTGCCCTTTCCTGGAGAGTTCTCCCAGCCTGGAGAACTGGCTCAGCTGCTGAATTCACTGAAAAGTTTTAATAAACCTCCCTGACAAGAGTTTGGGTTTTCTGGGGGACTGGGATTATTCTCAGTGCCACCTGAGCCTGGCTTAACCCCTGCTGGACCAGGATTTAGGTGAGCTGCATTCCAACCTGCAGGAAAAGCCTTTATTTCTTCAGCTTGATATTCCCATCTTTCAAATGCCCAAAACACAATTTCAGGATTTCCAGCTGAAAGGTGGAAGAAGAGGCCACATCCATCTCTGGGATAATTTGGGGTGTAAAAACCTCCCCTCAGCTGCAGCATCCTTCCCTTGGGAAGCAGCACATCCCATTCCAGGAGAGTGCCAGGGGCTGGCAGGAGAGGCTTGGAGAGGACTGGGATGAAAGTAGGGAACCTTCCCAGTCTGGGTTGAAAGTAGGAAGCCCTTTCCAGCCTGGGATAAAGCAAGGAGTCCTTTCCAGTCTAAAATAAAGTAGGAAGTCCTTCCCAGCCTGGGATAAATTAGGGAGTCCTTCCCAATGCTGGGATGAAAGTAGGGAGTCCTTCCCAGACTGGGGTGAAAGGAAGGAGCCCTTTACAGCCTGGGGCAAAGCAGGGAGTCCTTCCCAGCCTGGGATAAAGTGGGAAGACCTTCCCAGCCTGAAGTCAAAGGAGGGAGCCCTTCCCAGCCTGGGATAAAGCAGGGAGTCTTTCCCAGTCCAGGATAAAGTAGGGAGTCCTTCCCAGCCTGGAGTGAAAGCAGGGAGTCCTTCCCAGCCTGAGCTCAGAGGAGGGAGCCCTTCCCAGCCTGGGGTAAAGCAGGGTGACTTTTCCAATCTGAGGTGGGAGGAGAGAGTCCTTCCCAGCCCAAGATCTACAGGAATTGTGCCAAATCCTCTTTGCCCATGTGCCACACTTTACCTCTGATCTCAGCGGGCAAGACAAGGACTGAGCAGGTGAAGGACCATCTCAAGGACCGCTTTTTTTGGTAGGTACCACTTCTGCATGACCATCCTGATCTACATCCTGCCCCTCCTGGTCATAGGCTGTGCCTACACCGTGGTGGGACTCACCCTCTGGGCCAGTGAGATCCCCGGGGACTCCTCCGACCGCTACCACGAGCAGGTCTCGGCCAAGCGGAAGGTGAGGAGAACTCATGTCCCATCCCAGCTACTCCCAGCCCTAAATCCTTCATCAGGGTGGGAACAGGTCAGGACTTGGAATGTGGTGAGTGAAGGGACCCCCAAGGATCATGGATCCAAGTCCTGGCCCTGCACAGACACCCCAAAATCCCGCCCTGTCCCTGAGAGCGTTGTCCAAACCCTCCTGGAGCTCTGGCAGCCTTGGGGCTGTGCCCACTGCCCTGGGGAGCCTGGGCAGTGCCCAACCAGCCTCTGGGGGAAGAACTTTTGCCTGAGATCCAACCTGAGCCTGCCCTGACACAGCTCCAGCCATTCCCTGGGTCCTGTCCCTGGTCCCCCCAGAGCAGAGCTCAGTCCCTGCCCCTCCTCTGCCCCTGCCCAGGCAGTTGGAACTGCAGTGAGGTCTCCCCTCAGTCTCCTCTGCTCCAGCTGAACACACCAAGTGCCCTCAACTGCTCCTCATAAGGCCCCTCCAGACCCTTCTCCATCCTCGTGTCCTCCTTTGGACACTCTCCGATGGCTTCGTGTATCTTTTGTATATTGTGGTGCCTCAAAACTGCCCCCAGTATTGAGATGAGGCCACCCCAGTGCAGAGCAGAGTTGTTGAAAATGGAACACAGCGTCCTCCAGATGTGTGCCCTCCACAGAAGTGGGTGGTTTAACCAAGATTTTCCTAGCTGGAAACGTCTCTAGGGCCAAAAGAGACAGGTGGGATGACTGATGGCTGGCCCTGTGTCCCTGCCCTCTGTCCCTGTCCCAGGTGGTGAAGATGATGATCATCGTGGTGTGCACCTTCGCGCTGTGCTGGCTGCCCTACCACATCTACTTCACCCTGCAGTACTTCCACCCCGAGTGGTACTTCCAGAAGTTCATCCAGCAGGTCTACCTGGCCATCATGTGGCTGGCCATGAGCTCCACCATGTACAACCCCATCATCTACTGCTGCCTCAACGACAGGTGGGTCTCTGTTGCTGTTAAGTTGAGACGGCCAAAGCGACACAGACTCATCTTCTTCCAAAGCAGGGGCAGGATAGGAGGATGGAGGAGGAGGACCTTTATTGCAACAGGTTACAGACATTTATACTCTTCACACAACACACATGTTAACCTACAGTTGGTGCTTCTCCATACATATACTTCAGGATTGGCTGTCAAATAGCAAAGTCATGGTGACCATGCTTAGTCATGACCTGGCTAGAGCTGAGTCACGGTGACTTGCAGAAAGTCCAGGAAATCCATTTTTGTAATTCCTGTCTTCCATCTTCTTACTTCCTTCTGACAGACCTGTTGTCAGCCCTGACAGGTTTCCAGGGACACCTTTGTTGGGACAGGGACAGGAGGAGTGGGAGATACAGAGGGGTCTGATGGAGAAGGGGAGGGAGGGAGGGAGGGATGGATGGATGGATGGATGGATGGATGGACGGATGGATGGATGGATGGAGAGCTTTTTGGGATGGTTCTGCCCCATCCTCCATTAGGAGCTGCTTCCAGCAGATGCTGGAATGGTACAACTCTCACCTAAAGTCTTTCCTAAAGGCCCTGTGGGATTTGAGGTATCAAAACAGTCCTGACTAAACTTCCTTGTGAGGGGCAGGGGAGGGGCAGACACTGAGCTCTGCTCTGGGGGGACCAGGGGCAGGACCCAGGGAAGGGCCTGGAGTTGTTCCAGGGTAGATTTAGGTTCGATCTCAGGAAAAATTCTTCCCCAGGGGGTGGTTGGGCACTGAACAGGCTCCCCAGGGTTTGGCCATGACCCCAAGGCTGCCAGAGCTCAAGGAGCACTTAGGCAACACTCTCAGGGACAGGCTGTGACTCTTGGGAATGGTCCTGTGCAGGGCCAGGAGTTGGGCTGATGATCCTTGCGTGTCCTTCCAACTCAGCACATCCCGTGACTCTCTGAAATGGAGATTTATCGGTGGATTTCCCCCCTTTAGCAAAAAGCAGCGTTTCTAGTTGTGTTCAGCAGTTCTCAGCTCTATCTCCCCACTCCCAGTGAGGCCCCTTTGCCCTCCCCGGGCCCCTCACCCCTGATTTCCCCCCCCAGGTTCCGTGTGGGCTTCAAACACGCGTTCCGGTGGTGCCCCCTGGTCAGCGCGGGCGAGTACGAGGGGCTGGAGCTGAAGTCAGCCCGGTACCTGCAGACCCAGAGCAGCGTCTACAAGGCCAGCAGGATCGAGACCACCGTGTCCCTGGCCGTGGGGATGGCGGAGGAGGAGCTGGAGGAGCCCTCCAAGGCCAAGCGTCTCTCCATAGACGTGACCTCCAACGGCTCCTCCCGCAGCGACTCCAAAACCGTCTCCGAGAGCTTCAGCTTCTACTCCAACACCCTCACCTGAGGGGCTCCCCGGCTCCATCAGCCACTCCTGAGGTGCCACCACCCCCCTGCCCTCACCGGGACGCTCCAGGGCTCCACCCACGGCCCTGGTTTGTGATGTGCTGGTGTTTTCTGTGGTGTTTTGTCATCTCCCACTCGCTCGCCGTCCCCGGGCGAGCCCAGGAGGGAAAGCTCTGGATTAGTTCCATGTGTTCCATCATGGCCTGTGTGGAGAGGGTGCAGGAATGGGACAGAGCTGGCTCTTCCTCCAAAACTGTGATTGCAACTTGGCAGGAGCTTCCCATGTTCCCATGTTCTCCCAGAGCATCCCACGCCTCTGGAAAATGAGCCTGTCCTGCGCTTTCCCCCTTCCCACCTTTAATTTCGTTCTGCCTGTCACTCCCAGTTGGATATCCGGGGGGATATTTAGTTCCAAAATCCAGGAAAAATGTTGTTTTCGGCATCAGGAGCCTGGACATCCATTGGGAATCATCATCCATTTGGAGCTTCAGTCAGATCCAGGATTTTCCATGTGGTCTTGGCTCTTCTCCAGCACCCACATGGATGGTCTCCTGCTCTGTCTCCAACCACAGCTCATCCAACAGGGCTCTCCCAAAGGATTCCTGACCTAAGCCAGGCTTTGCTTGCTCTCAATCAACCACATGTGCCAAAAACAATCACTGTGACTTCCTAGAAAGCCCAAGGTGACGCTCCTTGGACAGATCCTGGAATCCTGTGGAGGTCTGGAAAAGGAGAGACCACATTGAAATGTTTTTCACACCCTGGAAACGGATTCCATCAGAAAAATAAGGTTTGAAGGGAGATGAAGATTTTTCCAGACTCTTTTTATTCAGAGGAGGGTGAAATGATTTACCTCCACCTTCTGGATTTCATTTAATCAGGGAAATTGTTTTTTTTTCTGTTGCAGAAAAAAAGAAGTTTATGATGTGTGCATGGAAACATGGAATATTTTAGTCCTGCTCAGATGGATAATTTTCCCTGGGGCTGCTCAAGGACCCCTGCTCAAGGGTCATCAAATGGATGAACACACCCTCAGAGGGGGGAAAAAAGCAAATAAAATGAGATGTGGACAAATGGGGCTTGTTGGGGACAAACCCACACGTTTGGGGGCAGTCTGGTTGATGGTCCAATCCCTCATTCTTGGTGCAGAAATCAGGCTCCTAAATGGATTCAGTGAAGGAATGAGGGATGAACAGTGGAGACACACATAGGGCAAGGAAAGGTTATTTTCAAGCAGCTGAACATCAGACCCTGCTGAGCAGCCAGAGATCTCTGGGAGTAAAAAAGGAATGACTTTTGGGGCTTTTCAACTCCTCAGGCTCCAAACTGGCTGTTGGAAGAGCTAGTCCTGGATAAATCCCAGCCCCGACAGCTCTTGGAGATAAACACCCACATATTCAAGGAATTACTCCAGCAGAAATTCAATGAATGGGCAAATCCAGGACCAACAAAAGGGGATTGACAAGAATTATCATTTTTACCCCAAATCCTGCCAAGTGCCCTTAGAGAAAGAGCTCTTCCACCCTCTTCCCAACCACAATGTGCTCTGGACACACCCTGGAATACACTTTTCCTCCTTAAATTCTTAATTCTTGTCGCTTTAGGACACGTTCCCGTGTCTCTGCCTCCCAAAATCTGGGATCCTGGAGAAGGGGAATGGCAGGACCCTGCCTGGGGGGTTGGTTTTCCATAACCCCACCAGTCCCAGGGCAGCAATTGAAGATTCCAAGGGTTTAACTCCAGGGATGGACAAGGAAACCTTTCCCACCCAGTCCATAGGAGCCAATACCTGAGAAGGTGCTACAAACCAGAGCCAAAATCTGATTTATTTCCAACTGCCAACCCAAATTCACAATTTAATGACACCAAATATCTCCACATGCTCCAGAAAGGTGAATAAAGCAAGGGGAGATTGGCTCAAACCCCTCACAGGAGAGTTTGTGTCGGGCTTTGAGCCTCCAGAAGTCAGAATTTATGGAAAAAAACCATAAATATCTCTCTACATGTGTATATTTAGATATTTATAACCACGCTGCCCTTTTGGCCTCTGTGTTTTGTGCCCCAAGGATGATCTTTGAGATGATCCTGAGAAGGGCAAAGCAATGACAAGTGTCTTCTCACAGGCAAGGCTCAGCTTGAGCCATGGGATAACCCCAGGGAGTGAGGGGAGATTCAATTCAAACAGACAGTTTACAGCCTGAAATGCTTCTTGGGCATCTTGTATCTCTTGAAATAAAGTGGGGAAAATCCCCACCTGTTGTAAATAGTGTTGGTGATCCCAGTGGAGCCTGACCAGGATGATGGGAATGTGTCAGGGGATCGTCCAAGAGCTGGTGATCAATGTAAGAAAACCAAACTGTTGTGTGTAAATGGGTACAACACCCAAACCTGGTCTTCCTTTCTCCCCTCCAAGTGCCAAGTTATTTGCTGGGGGAGGCAGGAACAGGGACAAGGATCTTTTCATGTTTAGGATCTTGGCCATCCCAAGATGGGATGTTTGGTCCATGTCCACTCATGTGACAAACATAGAATGGTTTGGGTTGGAAGGGACCTCAAAGCCCATCCCATTCCACCCCCTGCCATGGGCAGAGACACCTTCCACTAGCCCAGATTGCTCCAGCCTGATCTTGGACACTTTCAGGGATCCAGGGGCAGCCACAGCTTCTCTGGGAATTCCATCTCAGCTCCTCCCCACCCTCATAGGGAAGGATTCCTTCCCAATATCCCATCTAACCCTGCCCTCTGGCAGTGGGAAGCCATTCTCTGTGTCCTGTCCCTCCATTCCTTGTCCCAAGTCCCTCTCCAGTTCTCCTGGAGCCCCTTTAGGCTCTGGAAGGGGCTCTCAGCTCTCCCTGGAGCCTTCTCTTTTCCAGGTGAACACCCCCAGCTCTCCCAGCCTGGCTCCAACCCTTGGAACATCACCAGGCAACGTTTTCACCACCCTTGGGATGTTCTGGGCATGAAAAAAACCCACAAAAAAGTCTTTTGAAGACTGAAAAGTCTAAAACCAGATTCCCCTTCCCAGATGTACGGTCTCTGCTCTGTTTCCATCTCTCCTCTTGAACCCCTCAGCTCAGTCCAGAGGCTTTCCCAGTTTTACTGAGCCCCTGTCCCTGGTTAGTTGGCAGATCTCTGGTTTGAAATTCAACTGCAAAGCCAGAGAGTTTCTTTGGCTCTTTCCTGGCACTTCCAAATGCAGAACAGCAGCATCTGGAGAGACTCAGGGCTGCCCAGATCCCTCTGCCATCCCCTCCTTGGAGCCCAGTATAACTCCCATCCTCACAAGGGGAGCTGCTGAGCCCAGTTCCAACAGACTCCAAGCCAAAACCACTGCAGGGAGGAGCTCTAAACCCCAAATTCCAGCCTAAAGCCACCTAAGTCATTGATTATAAGCTCAGCCTTGCATCCTGGCATTGCTCTTCCCTCTTATCAGGAACACAGAGCAGCAAATCCCCATCCCCAGCTCAGCTGCTCCAAAACACAACATTTCCAGCCCATTTCAGGTGTAACCTTCCATCCCCCACCAGCAAAACCCAACCAACAGCCTGTTTGGGTGTTTTGTCAGAGAAATCCGGCAGCTTTGGGACTGGAAGCCAAGCACAGACTCCCATTGTTTGGAATCAGTCACAGGATTGCCGGTGGATACAGAAAAAACCTGCCCCACCCACCCACCTCTTTATTCTTATTTTTATTTTGCTGCCCCTCCCCATCTGCCAGTGGAGGTGGAAGTGGAGTGTCCGTTGTTTACAGAGCTTTTCCACAGGGATGACATGGATTTAGGGTGGTTTTATCTTGCTGGGTCCTTGCCAGAGCCCTCCTATGAGGTTGCACAACCCCAAAGCCCAGCCCAGGAGCCCCTGGATTTTATTTGCTATTGAAATAATAATAATTATTTAAATAAACCCAACCTTTCAGCCTTCAGGAATTGATCCAAAGTGATTCTTTCATTCTGGGATTTGTCATAAATCTCCCATCCTACCCCAAAAAACCTGTTTCCGGCTGAATAATTAATCCAGTCCCAATAATGGAAAGTTTAACTTACAAATAGACCCTTTTGCTGTGCTTTATCCACCCAAAATCCCATCTCTGCTGGAAGAGAAGTCACAGTCATGGATAAAATGGTCCAGGAGAGGGACAGGGAGACCCCAGAGCAGCTGAGGGGGAGGGACCACTCTGGGATGTCTCTGCCCTTAAAATGTTCCATCCCAAAAGGGATCCTGATCCTGTACAACCTAACATTTCCATCCCAAAAGGGCTCCTTTGCAACTTCAAATTTTCATCCCAAAAGAAATCCTAATCCTGTGCAACTTAAAATTCCCATCCCAAAACAGATCCTGAGCCTGTGCAGCTTAAATTTTCCATCCCAAAAGTGATCCCGGGCCTGTGCAATTCAAATTTCCATCCCCAAAGGGCTCCTGATCCTATAAAGTGATACAGGAGGGTTGTGAGAGGACAGGATGGGCTGTGAGGTCCCTCAGGAGGTTGGAATTTGCTCTGTGGAGTCAGCTGGAAGGAGGTTTGGGGGGAATTTCTTCCCATTGTAGCATCTCCATGGAGAAAAAGGTCCCAAAATCTCTGTCTCTTGTCGGGTTTGTCCACGTGGATTTTCACAAATAAATGTTTCTCTGGTGAGACCTTGTTGTTGCCAGAGGTTAACTGGGGACAGGGGACAACGGGGGTGGGGGAGTGGGAGGAGAAGGGGAAGGTGGAGGAGGTGAAATTAGGAAGGAAAGAAAGGGGTGGGAGGCAGAGGGTGGGTTAGGGGAATCTTTGGGGTGAGGGGTTTGCTCTGGAATGTCACCACTAAAGCAAGGAAAAGGACAACCCCGACAATTCATCCACAAAGCTGGGACTGGGCTCAACATCACTGGACTGGGCTCAGTGTCACTGAATCACAGAATCATAGAATCACAGAATCCCAGAATCAGCTGGGTTGGAAGGGACCTCTGAGATCATCCAGTCCAACCCTTGATCCAACCCCGCCGTGGTTCCCAGCCCATGGCACTGATGCCACATCCAGTCTCTGCTTAAAAACCTCCAGGGATGGAGAATCCACCCCTTCCCTGGGCAGCCCATTCCAATGGCTGAGCACCCTCTCTGCAAAGAAATTCTTCCTGATCTCCAACCTAACCCTCCCCTGGCACAGCTGCAGACCCAGCCCTCTTGTCTTGCTGATGGTTGCCTGGGAAAAGAGACCAACCCCCCCTGGCTCCCCCCT